ATTCTAATTTTTTCATTTACGAATTCTAATACCGGATTTTATATCTCTCGATATATATGAATATAAATAAATATTCTCTACGAATATATATATCTAGAAACTATATATAGAGAACGTATTTATTATTTTATTATCTACTAGTTCTTCTCTTTCTCTCACTTTCTATAATCAATTCTAATTATCTATATCTCTTTTTTTTTGTTCTCTACATATTTTCTTTTATTAAATTCCAAATATAAGAAATTAATTAATTAATATCACCAAGAGTTATTTCAAAAAAGACTACGAAATAAAAAGAAAATTATATAAAATAAAATTGAGAGATAATATAATTATTTCGAGAGATCAAAGGAAATCAGAGCTATATAAAGAAATAAATGAAATAATAAGAGATCCCGGAATTATTAACCCTAGATCCTAAACCCTCTAGATCTAAATCTTAGCAGAGGTATCAACCATAATAATAATATTTATATGGAATCCGCCGTTCCACAGCATACGCATGGATCAAAATATCTCCCACCATGAATCATGTCACCACGAAATGCAAAAAATTACGCAATATTACACGGCAAAGACAGAGAGGGAGATAGAGACAAAGAGGCCATGCAAATCTATGAGTCCAATAAACAACCGCATCAACACAACATATCACGCCATGTCGTGCGATGTTACATGTGCCAGACTACGGAATGCTATATTCGTAATATCACCACAAGCAAGTCTTTCTGATTTCCCATTCAGAAGGCCGCGTCAGCGAATTGCTCATGTACCTGTCGCCGTCAGCAGCATTCATGCTTTCCACTGGCACATATAGTGATTGCATGCGAGAGCCTCCAGCAGTTTGGCATCTTGGCGCAATGGAAATGCCTGGACTCGGCACCAACATCTGCGTGGCGAGGACAGCTTTCAGATGCTTCGCTGCTTCTTGCAAGTGCAAAGCAACAGCAACAGGCCAGCAGGACGCTGGATGTATCCTCGAGGTGCTTCAGATACCTGCGTGGGAATTCGTGACACACTTGGGCCAGTTTCAGCAAGTCAAGATTCAAGCTCGCCACGATGCCGCCTGTGCACGCAACGAAGCCTGGTCCTACTGGTTGCCTTCTGATTCTAATCCCATTGAAGGGCCGAGCAAAACAACTCCACTGCAAGTCGACCCACTCCATTTCATCTGACGGACTTTACAGAATCGATGGCTGTGCAGCTGTGCAGACACGGATTGCAAACTGCAACAAGAGCCCGAGTGCTCCTCATGGCTCGTCTTTGGTCTACATAAAGTCATTAGGGATGCAGGCCCACAAGCTGCACGAATTCCACGTAGCTCAGCTCCTGTACTGTCAGTCAAACTTACGTCTCAGTCTTAGGACAGCTTTGTAATACAATGGTCCTCTGGAAGCCCGGCATTCAAGGCTGCCACTTCCTCTTCGGAAACCTCGAACAAAGTACACGAGCAGGGGCGCGACCAAAGCAGCCTTGAATTCTGGGAAGCTGACTGCTTGCCCCACCTGCGGGCAAAGCCCGTGTGAGTTTACCATGACTAAGAGCTCTCCTTGACCTCCTGCCTGCAGCGCAGTCTGCAATGTCGACTTTGGCAAAGTCCGTCCGGAGTTCTTTGAGTCCGCCAATCGGCTGAAGGCGCTCCTGAGCTGTGCCTCCTCACACCACGTGATGAAAAGAGCACTTCACAACTCAAGAACCGCAGGACCAGTTGAAGGCGCTCCTGCACAGCGACATGGTGTGGCCTCGTGGATTCAGACATACAGGGGCAAAGCCTAACAATCGCTCGATGTATCTGTTAGTCATTCTTGGCAGCCAACAACATCACGGCCAGGAAGTCGCTGAAGCCTATCTTGTCTCCGACTGTCCCCGCTGTTGCCACCAAGGACCTTGGAGTTACTGATCACGGCGTAGCCTCGGCTCCGCCAGCACCCCAAGCCATGCCTGATCTCCTCCAGCCACTCTTCGGCATCATTGCTTTGGGCCTGGGCAGCGCATGCAAGACATGCCAGACCCGTCCAGACGCAACCCTTCGACTCAGCAGCTGGGAGACGAACGCGGAGGCTCAACATGGGAAAGAGGCCGCTGCTGTCGCGGTCTCTGTGCACATCTGGCGTCGTGCCTGGCTTTGCCAACGCATGTCAATGCTCTTGCTTGAACTTTCGCTGTACAACGTCCGGCTGCGACATTTTGAAAATATGGTTTCTAGCAGCCTTTGAAAAGGAGCTGACATCGACCAATCAGCCTTGGCCGATGGGACAAGCGACCCACGAGACAAGCAGAATTCCAAAGACAAGAGGATTGGTCTTCGGTCAACTTGAGCTTCATCCTGCTTTACCTTCTTTCCTGTGCCAAGTCGCTGAAACCTCACTTCAATCTAAACCAACGAACCTCTTTCACCGGTGGACAGGCATTGCATCAGAGGTGCTGCATGTGTGGGTTTCAGCGCCCTTCTCTTTGGCTGGAACACAGAGCTTCACTTGTGATTGACGTGGCACGCACCAGGAAGTCCTTTTCGGCAAAATCTGAAGAATCCAAAATCTGCGAACATTTGGCGGCATTATGGGGTGCTTAACCTGGCAGCAGTTGCCATCCCACAGCTCCTAAAAGAAAAACTAAGGAAGCTGCAATCACTGGTTCACCTGGCATCGCTGCAGCAGCGCCAAGCAGGCTGAAGTGCTGCTGACGACATCAGACGTAAACAGATGCGGGGGTCCACGAACGACTTGTGGCCCCGCAGCGTGTTCCGCCGTTGTTGCGGACAACGCCCGCCGTGTCAACTTCTTGTCAGAGATTTTGCCAGCCAGCCATCTTGCGGCAGTTCAACTGCTCAACTTGATTTGTGTGCACCACCCAGTCCACCGTCAACAGCGTTCTGCGTACATCGCGCGTCGTTTGATCTTTCCCACTGGAGAACACAAAAGAAACAGGGCGCGACAGGCCTCGAAGCCCAGCAGACAAATCTGAAGCGCTCAAAGCACCGTCCCCATCGCAGTCCAATCGAAGAAAGGCGCCTGTAGCGACAGCCGCATGGCAGTCTGACTGTGCAACATTTACCAAAAAAAACTCTGCTAAGACTTTCAAAGGATTCAAAGGTGCTCTCCTCTGCTGCGGTCCGCTCTGCTGTCCGCTACGGTATTATCCCTGAATCTGCGAAACATCCGCCCTTCGCCGCTCCTCGGAGGCCTTCCTGCGAAGGCGCTTCTTCGTTGCACAGAGAGGAGCCTCTTTCGCTTTAAGGCTTCTGACTCGTCTCCTGCTGCACTTCTGCCAGCTCGCGGGCAACCAGCCGCAGGAAGGCCTGTGCAGAATGTCTGGGCACTTTCCTGTCATATCAGACGTCCACCAACTGGGCACAGGACATCGGTCGCTTTTCGCGCAGAATCGCTGAGGCAAGTCCGCATCATGGGTCGTGGTGAGCGGGAAGTATACGGGGTACACACTCATCACCCGCCCAGGAGAATGCGTGACCAGCATGCAGGTGCCGTCAGCAGTCTAGGTAAGTGCTTAAAGTCATGCCCCCACGGGGCTTCATAGCCAAGAGCGTCGCTTTCCATCCACGAGCTCGGAACCCACCAGACTTGTTTGCACAAGTCGGTCTGGAGTAAATCCGTTCAGTGGAGTCAAAAGCTGCCTCAGGTGCGGCTAGATGCGGGGGCTCCCTCCTTAGATGTCAGTCGTCGACGCACTTTATCGCACATGCTCGCCAGAGACCTGCTTCACTGCATTTCCAAGCAACGGATTGGGCTGGATGGAAAATTGGGCGAAGCCTCAGCCAATGCCCAAGACGCAGCATCTACGCACTGAAGCACAGAAAACGCCCAAGTCACCTTGTGCACTCACGGCTAGCCAAACTGCACTGTATAGCGGTAGAACTAAGGCTCATTTAGGTCTCCATAACATCTAGGCCTAGGCGCTGAGATTGAACCATCTGGCCGAACGATAGGGATGTCCACCTGTGCCAGACATGACAGAACTTCGAACTCAGGATGTCACTCAGGCTCTCTGCCCGATGGATATGTCCTGTTTGTCCTGTGACATTAACATACTTTAACGATGCGAGCCAGACAGCTCAAGTTAACGCCTACGGCCAGGAAACTCAACATCCACATCATGCATTTCTTAGCCGCTTTCGCTGAACAGTGTGAAACATCCCTGCTGCCTTCAGCATGCTGGAGCGGTCGGGGCCGACCTGAACGAGTCCGTCACTGGAGATTCGCCAGACAAAGTCAATCGTTTCAACCCGAAGAATGCTAACGACGTCTTCTGACATCGTATGAGTATATTGTGCTGATGCTGCCATACAGCACTTCAAGCAAGTATACATCGCGTGCGGCGGAAAACCTAGCGCACGAAAGAGCTCGCAGCAACAGAAGGCACCGGCTCGGCAGAGCACGCCTACCCTCCTTCGTGCCGTCAAGCCGCTCCCACCCAAGAAACAGGAATCCCCAGGAGTTCCTGGATCCTGCCAGAGTTCGGATTCTGAGCAGGCCTCTAGTTCCCTTGGGTGAATTCCCTGGGCCCCCGTCCTCAAGACGTACTTCTTTGCGTTGCTTGGCAGGTCGGCGAAGTCCGTGACCTTGGAAATGTCCTCGGACCAGCCTTGCATCGTTTCGTATTCACCTGGGCACGGAGGTTGCACTGGGATGCAGGGATGCAGGCGTGTACTGTCAGCCGCCACGAAGTCGAGCGACACACGACCTCTTTCAGATCCTCAAGGTGTGAGGGAAAGTAGCCCGGCGGCAACCGGACCTGCACACACGCTTCAGCAGCGAAGCCGCAACTTCCATGTGGGCGTAGGCAAGGCCGGGCCTCTGTCATTTGCTTGTTGCGATAGGCTATCGCAATTCGGATTTGCCTGAGGCCTGTTAGGACCTCAGCTCAGGCTGCACACTTCGAGAAGAACCGATCCGGTCCTGTCATGAGCTGGGCTTCTCGCGTCTAGTTTGGTGAGGTTGATGCTGTCAAAGCCGTTCCTTCCAAAAACATGGTGAGTGGGATGCTCAATAGTTGTGAAAGCTGCCCACTGCTGGCAGTCATAATCTCCCCCCTGTCCCCCATGCATCTGGAGACTCTTGTGTCATGCCATGACATGCAGCGCCAGAGCAACGCAAGCTCTAAGCCGGAGTCTTTTAGAAACAAACGCGGCCCTGAGCTCCAATTGCCATCCATTTTTTGGGCATCGTGCAGACAGCACGTCGTCTTGACACACCAACGAAAGAAACCCAACCCCACAGCATGAGAGAAGCTCTCTTAGTCAGGCGACACGAGGTACAGCCGAGCGTCACCATGGCACTGTACTTCACAAGTGCGAGATCCAGCCAACCGCATCTGCGTCGCCGTCCGGTGGTTGTGCCGTACTCGTGGCCCACTTCTTGAAGCATCTCTCCCACCCGAACCTGAAAGTTTTACAGGCTGTTCTGGGTCTTGTGGTCAGGTCATAATGATCTCGTTGACTCATGAGCTTCGCAGGCCTGCTGTTCCGGCTTGAGCTCGTAGGGACCAGAGCTGTGACCCTGCAGGTCTGCGCCATCACAAGACAATCGCTGCTGCTGGAACTCAAAGAAAGGCGCACGCCTTTCGGGCCATGGACTGTGCAGGGCCAATGTAGGTCTCCAGATGGTCATCCAGAGTCTGCGCTTCGTTTTGAAGCTCCTCATTTCACAGCTGCAAAAGAGTGGCAGTGGGCGGCTTCGCATTCTGTGGATGGGGAGGCTTGCACGTCGTCCGAATCCGAGCTTCGGTTGGAAAGGGACCGTGGCCCACGCGCGTGGTGTAGGCCTCTCCAACTACTCGGTCTTGCACACACGCGACAGGATGCTTCGTGGGCAAGCCTTCACGACGCCGATGACGGTGTCAATCTGCTTTGGTGGCACGCCCAGACCTGCAAAGGCCCATCGCCGATTGCCGGTGTTGCACGACCAGAAACGGACCTGTGCAGACGCTTCCGACCGTTGTGTTGGACGATGTGACCTTAGAGGTTGCAGAGTCCCGGACAGGAGGGCACAGATCCTGCGTGCTTAAGTGCATGGCAAAGGGATATGTGCCGAAGTCAATGTCCAGAAGCGCTGCATTGGCTCCCTCAACGAGGACCTGTGAGAAAGCGAGATAGAGTGAGAGGGAGAGAGACAGAGGGACAGGCAACAATGACTGAAATTCGCCGCTTAAACAGTTTCGTGCAGCTTGCTTAGAGGAAGGTTTCTGCACTTGCATTGAGCAGTGTCGGAGAAAACAAACCATATGGAATGTCTGCGTAGTGCGGGGAAGATGCCTTGTAGCCACGTGAGATATCCTTGGACCCAACAAACATCGACGGAGTTGCAAAAAAGCTTCTCCGTCAATATGATGGGTATGATGATATGATGGGAAAACGCACTCGAATGCAGAGCCAAGCTTCTTCATGAATCAGCGTAACACTGTCCACGATTTGAGGGCGAAGCAGTTCAGCAAATTGCCGATATCGCGCGATCTCCTCGCTGAAGGCAACAGCCAGGACAGCGCAAGGACGGCAATGAGAACTCAAGGGTCTCCTCCTCCACGTTACTGACTCCACCTTTCTTGCCCTCCTCCGGATCGAAGGCATACTTGGTGTTGTATTCCCGCAATGCCTGTCCCAAACCGCAGCACAAACAGAAAGGCTTCAGTCAGGTGAGTAGAGTAACCGGGAAGGTAGCCTTGCGCAGCTGCAGCTGAGCCGGAGTGTCCTCCCAAATGTGCTTCCAATACCCAACCTTTTGAGACTAGTCCGAGCTCGATTGCTAGCTGCAGTCCCGCTCGCGAGGGTCGCCAAATCGCTTCCTGGGCACCGTCAGAGCTGGTGGTCGAGCCACAAAGCAGTCAAAACAGCACGCAGCAGCTCAATCGGCCATATTCACTGCCTATGACCTGGGCATCAACACTGCATGTTTATCCGCAGCTCCTGAGACTCCGTGCAGTACTGACTAATTATTTGCGAACCGAGCTGCTGCGACCATGCGATGAGTTCTCGGAGACGTCGCTCGAATTCCTACTCTCACGGATGCATGGGAATCATAGGGCTTGCACCTTTGCTTTCCAGCCTGTCATAGAAATCGCGACCCGTCTAACTACAAGTACTGCAGAATCCGGAGCATGAGGACGAGCCTTTCTGGATAAAGACACGGCTCGACATCAATACCCCGTCTCACAGACACCTTGAGAAAGAGAACCCTTCAGATTGGGGTGCCTCGAAGTGCAGGAGATCACCAAATCGCAGACCGTTTCCTTATGGCACCAGTTCGTGCTTGAAATTGCTTCGTGTGGCGAGAGAAGAATCTGCAGCTCTCTTCCGAGGCACGGATTGCCTTCGCAGAGTAGCATGGGCCAATCCCGCGCTTGGTGGTGCCAATGGAGTTGGTGCCCTGTTCAGTTGTTGGATGCTCACATTCGCTGCTCAGATCTGCTGAGATGCTGTGCTTTTCAACCTCACACCAGAGGCAAGTCTGAGGACACGGTGGCGCAAGCGGACAAAACAGGCCTAATCTGTGCTAGTCAGAACGATGAGAAGGAGACAAACAAGAATAAGAGTAACACCACTGAACATGTGACGCTAAATCTCCTTAGTCATGATGCCACATTAATATAACCATGGCATTACAACCACTACAACTATTGCTAGTGCTACTGCTACGACTACTGCTGGTCCTACTCTTCTTCTTTCATTACTACTACTACTACTACTACTACTACTACTACTACTACGACTACGACTACGACTACTACTACTACTGCGACGACTACTACCACTATTACTTCTGAGAATGCTACCAAATATTGGCATCGTTGTGGATTTTACATGATGCTGCTCATACAGGAACACTAGCGGCACTCAGGCCCAGGGAAAATGACGGGCCTGCTCTGCCTCGAGGATGCCATCGATGATCTGCACAGGTCACAGTGCGTCCCCGGCCCGGCCCCACTCATGCACTCCCATACAGGTTATTATAAGGCTATCAGGCTTCTAAGAAGGATACCATAAGACTTCTATACCAATACTGAATGCCGGAGCTTGCTAAGGGAGCCTGGTGGCTGTCAAAGAGGATGTGGGCACCTCCCGCGGACACACGCAAACAAACCGAACCATGATGCAAACCAAAGCGTTGTTTCGTCCGAGCTCACGGCGTGTCGAAATGAACACCCTCTCGAGGGCTCGAGGGTCGAATTCCTTCAGCTCCTGCTCATGGAAGACATGAGATCAACGTCGTTACGTGCTGTCACAAAACCATGGGGCTTTCGCCTGCAGTTCCCTCATAAGCGTGGGGACGTGGACCACGACACCTCAGATCAGAGATGATCAGAGGAACTTCTCCAACAGTGGAAGCTTGCCGTTCAGCAGACGGGGACTAAGGCAGCGCGCCGTTTCCAATGAGGTTCTTGCAAGCCTGCAGTAAGGTGCAATATGCCTATCGCTGCTCTCACGAACGGCCTTCACCGGCAGCTACCACCTGCTACTGATTCGTTTCAGCCGGAGGCAACGTGCTCATGTGTGCAGCGTGACGGCAATGGTAGTCATTTTGCTTTTCTGCTTGTTTGGCTATCGGTGGTTTCGCCAACAAACGATCTTGGTGTAGACACGGCGCCCGGCACGACGTGGTCAGGAAGTTTATTCCCAGTCTTGGAAGCGTAGCTGACCGATAGCTGTGGCCAGACTCCAAAGAACCACCAAAGTCCAAAGCGCGCATCCGACGTTGCTCTCCCTGCTTCAGCTGCTCTTTCGCCTCTCTGCCACGTGTTGCCCCGTGTCATCAATCTGCTTTTCTTGCGAGTTTTCTTATCCTTTTGGGTAAAGAGCGCTGAACAAACCAAAGGCTGCATTGCAAATGTCCAGCTCCCATTGCAGCTACTTCTGACTGCCTTCTGCATCCACGATCTGCTCTTCTTGCAGCAGGATCGGATCTCTGCCAGTTTCTGGATCGATGGCCCTCTTGTAAAGGAGCATAGGTGTTATTACATCAAGGTAGCCTTGCAACCTTTGGGCCCAGACTGGGATGCTTCACGTCTCGATACGTACCGGTGGGGCGAGAGAGGAGCAATGACTACCAGGGGTTTCGGACTTTGCTCTCACAGACCCGTCTAGACGATGCCCGCTTTCTCGTAGCCTGGTTCTTGCATGCTCTCTGCTCTCTGGTGAGGTGCGACTATATCACACACACTTTGACAGACATCCCCACCTGCCTGGTTGATCATTCCGCAAGGCAGAAGATGAAAGGCATACCTGAAGCATGATTTGGTTCCTAGGAACTTCCGAAGGTCGCCAAAGAAACTCACTCGGCTGCAGCACAGTCGGGTGAAGATAAGCTTTTATCTCCGCCGAGCTGCTTCTTTCCATCCACAAGCCTAGGGAGTGACAAGCAGCTGACAATGAAGGCTTCTTTCCCGAATGGCAGTGCTCTGAAAACTACCTCACATTGTTGTTGCACCATGCTCTGCAGCGGCACTGGCTGACACAACGGTTCGTGAAGCAGAAGCTAATGGCATCAGTATCCAATTGGGACAACATACATGCATACATTACATATGTAGGTACACACATGTATATATACATAGAGAGAGAGAGAGAGAAACAAAGAGAGAGAGAGAGAGATGTCCAACCCACCTATTCCATCAAGGGTGCAGCGTGTGTCCAGCATTCGCTCCGCCGTTAAAGCGTGCACACAGCTGGACATCTTGCGCCAAGATGTCCACGAGTTTGCCCTTGCCTTGGGAAGCGAAGGCATGTCTTGTCAGCTGCTGCATGCGGATATGAACACACAGGGTCGACGGCATCCCTCTCCGGTTGCAGTCAAGAGGCCCTCGTCACCCCACCTTGCTTTGCAGCAACATGTCGAGCTGAACATCCACTAAGGCATACATGCATCGAGCCGCGCGTGTGCGTGTGTGCCTGTGTGTGTGGCATGGTGTGTGAATGAAAGAGTCGAATTCGCGGCCAACACGGATGATATGTAGGCAAGTTAATATCCAAGTAGGCACTAGAAAGCTATCTAATAAGCTAGCTTCCTAGGCAGAGTCCAGCATCTAGATTCTAGATTCATGCAAAACTCATGCATTCATTAAACTGAACATTACACTAACAACATGCGAAAATCACTATGAGAACCTTCAAATTCGGACCTAGAGACTGTGCTCCGAGTACGACGCAAAACCGCGAGTCTTCGCCACTAATGGATCGGTCCAGCACCTTGATCCCCTTGAGCTTTGTAGCCTCATGCCAGCACTGCTTGTAGCTGTGCCCTCTTTGCATGACGTCTGGGTTTCCAAGTCGACGACCATGAAGCTCCGTCGCCTGGAAGTTGCCTTCTGCAGTGCTGCAAATTTTCGTAAGTCTCTAAACCACTAAGCAGGATCATTCTCTTGCAACACAGCAGTGAAAGGCATCAGTGCCACCTGTTGGGCCCTCTTCGGCGTCCACGTATGTCAATATCGGGCAAAGGCGCGGAGATGAAGGCTAGGACAATGACAAGAGTTGGCGGATCTCTCTGAAGTACCCGTATTGCCAAGCAATACATACAAGGGAATGGTTGTCGATACTGCGCTCATGGAGTACAAAACCAAGACCATGACTGGCAGTAGCCATGAGCTGCTAGAAGTAGCCAGGACATGCTGCGGTAGACACGCGAAAGCTGCAGAGGATGTGTCCGGAATTTTGGGCGAAACTGTCGAAGCGAGCCACGGCCTGTCGAAGACGTGCCCTGGTGCTTCCAACATAGCCTCGATAATGCAAAATGATCATGCAACGATAATGCAAGGTACAATAACCCGCCATTTAAAGGAGAAAGCAACGGGATGCAATAACACCCTCCCCCAACACTGCTCGCGCTCATTCTGTGACCACTGTCAGCCTGGGAAGGCGAAGCCGCGCAAGGCATCGACAACCTGGCATCATTAGACCCTTATGAGGACTTAAGAAACTTTCGCCTGTGCTTGAAATTTGATGCTATGTGGCTTTTGCTCAGAGTGCAGTCCGGATTTTTGCTGGCACTTGGCTCTGGCCATGGGATCCTGGTGAATTCTGAATTCCTCCGATGCCATCGCGGCTCAGCGGTTCGCTTCAGTTCTTCACCGGGTTCCAAGCATCCTCAAGGGAGGTCACACGGAGTCACAGCTTGCGTGAAGGAGCTCAGAGGCTGTGCAGGGAATTTTTTTCAACCACAGCCGCAAGCCCCAGATTTCAGGACCAGAATGTGAAGGTCTGACGGATGGCGTCGAACCTTGTGATGTTCCATGTATCTACCTGGGAGCCGATGAGCCCATCACTTGTCAAGGTGTATTGGATGCTGCCGGACCTTAACACGAGACTGCTTCCGGTGAGGTTCCTTTGCACGGGTCACTCTTGTCACCCTGAGACGAAATCCATGGCTCGATGCGTGGCCGCCAGGGCCTCAAGCAGCACACCAAAGGCGTGGTTGGCTCTTCGTGGGACGAATTCGACCCACTCGGCGGCCCAGGGCTGTGGCAGCTTCAGCGTGCCACCCGCGACGTATTTGGCCTGGATGCCACCATCGACGACCGAAACGTCCTCAAGGTTCAGGAAGCTTTCCTTCAGCCATAGCCCAAGAGCAGCAAAGCATGACCATTTCTGCGAGACCTCTGGACTCAAATGCCTTGGTCGCTGGATAAGTCCAAGCCTCTGATGGATCGAAGAGCAGCGCCAGCGCTTGGCGATACTGGGCAAGGCCCGTCACGGCATTGTTGGGATCGACAAATCGGCAATCGTTCGCAAAGATCGCTGTTGTGAGATTTCCGGTGAGGATATACTTGCCTTTGCACACATGGCACAAGCAAGAGGCGGCTAAAGTGGATACTGACCATGCGCATGCCAGCATCAGCATCGAGGTGGATGTGAAATGTCACACGACTTTCGGGACGAAGTTTTCAAGGCCTGTCCCCTAAACCCTTAACCTCCTGAAGCTGTGCCAGATCGTGCCCGGTGGCCGTCTCCCAGGTCTCTGCGCAGGACGTCGGCGATCTCCGTAGGTCTGAGTCCTCGCCTGAAAGTTCGTGCGTTGGTAGTTAGTGTGTGCTGGCATGGACGGTGTGCGATGGCCTTTTCACGCCGTCCTCAGGGTTGTCCTTCCACAAGAACGACCACTCCTCCGCAGCAGTATAGGAACATACGCTACTTTCTGCCTGTAGTGCAGAGACGTAGACACACAGCTGCATGCAAGGAGCAAAGGGTCTCTGTACGACAGGCCGATCTTCGGCGCACGCAGCAGAGCCGAGCATCAGACTGGTCAAACCACCGAGTCCTGCGAATCGCGCTTCCTATGTGCTGCTGCCATTTGCTGCCATTCCGGTGTTTTCTTCACCAAAGCGGCAAGTGTCCGCTTCTTCGGCGCATGGATGCTCCATCGAATCCTGTCAAAAACCGATTCGAGCAATGCAAGAACGGCAACGTACACATCATGTCAGACAAAGGAGGTCCTGGTAATGGCGCGAAGCAAGCAAGAGCTGGCAGCAGCACCAAGCAGGCAGCACAGCGTCCGCCCCTTCGAAGATGCCGCCGTGCCATTCCGAGAAGACTGGGGCAGACTCAAAGCTGTGCAGGCCTCTTATCCTAGTCATTGCTCTCATGTGTCCCCATCATCTTTTCGTTGATCAACTTCTCCGACTGTACAGTCTGTAGCGCACGGAGACAAGTGCAGCGGATCAATGCTCAATCGCAATCTGTGACGATATAACGATAGTAGAAGACCCGACAGACTATGCTTTGAGTGGAAAGCCCAGCTCATCGATATATTGTGTACCGGAAATAATATAGCATATGTAGATATATGTGGAGCAAAGCCTGCAGCATGCAGCATGCCTGTCGGCGCTGCAGTCTTCTCGAAACGACCTACTATGCTTTAAAACAGAAACGAGGAGAGGCCAGACAGGTAGTCGAGTCCCTCAAGAATCCTGCAGTGCATGCTGCATAGTCGGTGCCGCATACAGCAGCTGATCAAAGCCTGCTTTGCACGGTATGGCCGTTTCTCCTGCCATTTCCATGGAGCTGAGTCCACAGGTAGGCAGTCTACGCGCCTCGTTTGAAACCACTATGCCGCAAGTGCTGCCCACTCGAAAAGTCTTAGCGAAGGACGTGACGTATCATGTCATGGCTCCCTTGCGCAGACGAGCGGCCAAAGATCCGCTCAGCGGCATGGACCGACATACGGCCACTGCAGCGTGGGCCGTGATGCCAGGCGACCACGTTGAAGTTCTGAGATGTTGGGCATTCGTACAGCAAGTCTGATGCTCATGCATGGGTTGAGGTGTTGAGTTGCCGTCGTTCCTTGTGTTTCGTCGCGGTACTCAAGTAGGTCGCACTGACATGCGCCGTGGACAAGAACTGCAGCTCCGGCACTTCATACGGGTCCTTCGGTTCCAACGTCTTCTTATGGATGATTCGAGCCTCGATGACAACAGGGTCCGCCGTCCCCCAGACTTTACTTAAATATGTTTTTATCTGTTGGCAATCCGCCGCGTGTGCAATCTGCCAGCAAGACGCGCGCGCTTGTTTCAGGGAGAGTATCTCAGCATCTTCCCCTGATTTCAACTTCACGGCCATCGCGGTGTAGTTGCCTGAAGCCATGCGAGCAGGCAGAGAGAAGCTTCCAAGCGTCTCTCCTTCTTCGAGAGACCCGGGCTCAGCATCTGTTCCAAGGATGTCAGTGCAGCATCCATAGCATCCTGGCCATGTCGGTATAGAAGCGACATGAAGCGACAGCGACCCCAGGAGGTGCCTTGCTCAGGAACTCTTCGCGATGGATTGGACTGGTGAGCAGATGAACTACGCAGAAGAGGCCCTCGGCAAACATATTCCGCCACGCAACATCTCAGAAGCTTTCGTCGAGGCGCTTGAGAGAGCGCATTTTGCGCTCCGGCGAGGACCTCGAGCTCAAAGCCTTGAGTGGAAACAAATTGTCTGGTGGCGATACTAAAGCGAAGCAGGGTGCCTTGGACATGAATCTTCAACATGTCCACGACCTTGCTAGTAGCATCAGGCATCAGGACTGAACCGTCCAGCGACAGCGTTTTCAGACATCGACGAGTGGCACTACTGAGATCGTGTCAATGGGAGGTTCGTGGTACCGCGTCTCTGTTTCTCCGTTTGTTTTTGAAAAGATCGAGTTCCTGTCAGCTTCGTCTGTGAACGCCAAGCGGCTTGTCGGGCCTACTCGTTGGCTAATTAGTAAGAAAACCGTTACGATGCCTTGACGAAGTTGCGAGTTTCACGACTTGTCGCACTTGCCAATGCTCATCCTAAGGTGCTAAGCCTCAAGAGTCCGCCAACAGAAACAGCTTGAGCGTTCAGTTGGGGAGTTGCCTTTATTTTCTTCAAGTGACCTCGGTGTCTGTTTGCAGCAGGTTATCGATGGTCTCCATGGAGACCTCACGGCAGCTTGAAGTTCCAAAAACATCAAACTAAGCAAACTTGTGGTCACTTGACTCCAAAAACCTACCGAGAACCGCGCTCGTTGCACCTCACAGGGTCACGGCCAGTCTGCTTCAGTCAGGCAGCAGGCCACTACATGCACACGTTCTGAATCACGCCTCACAGAAGCCGGGAAAGCCTTGGCAAGAACTCAAAGTCTGCCCAAAAGCCATTATAATCAACAAAAGTCTCCAAGCGGCCTTGGCATTCACGAAAGGAGGCTTGCGCTGACGCACGGCGCTTTAGGTTCATGTCCAACTGCTCTACCTCGGGAGATGCATTCGCCCCATCCAACCGATCCAACCCGTACCTTTTTGGCCCCTGTGATCTCCTGCCTTTGCGCCCAACGCCAGCTGCCTCACCGCCAGCTTCGAAGGATCGCCGTTCTGGCGCAGGCGCCTCCCACAGCTCCAGAGCTCATCAGAGAACGCAGCAGCTGCACTCTTATCTCCCAAAGGGTCCAAGTTATTGTATAGTATATACTTTGGGGGCCCAAGTACCTACAAAGTAGCTACCATATTAATACTTGGACCCTTTGGGTCTCGTGTCAGGCGCTTTTGGGTGCCTCAGCAGCGCGGCAGCCTGAAGAGCGCTGCTGTCTCTTTGCGCTAGGACGGGGGCCCGACTGCCCCAGTGGGGCCCCAGTTGGATCCTCTGGGTTTCTGGCGGATCCTCGCGTCGCAGCTGCTGAGTCCTGGATCGGCTCAAAGAGGCTGGCGTCGATCTCAAAGAGGCGTCGCCTGTACAACACTACACGTCTGGATGTGTGACGGGCATTGCGTGGCGTAGTACTGTGCCTTCTGCACCCTAGCGCTTCACCATGTCGCAAAGGTCGGCATCACCGGTATTGATAGCATAATGGCCACTGCTCATGGAGTGCTGATGTGCTGCACAGCAGCGGTTGTCTGCTGCGGCTCCCCCAAGAAGAGAGCATGTGGACCGCCATGGTGCCTGAAGCAGGAAATGTGGCTCTGAGAAGGTCGTCTATCTGAAACCGTCAAAGCCGAGGCGCTGCAGTCGCCCTGGTTGGCACCAGCCTCCCACCAGCTCAGAGGCTGCACGGCCCAGGCCCTTGCGAGCATCGCCGGGGCTGAACGATGAAGAGACGGCTGAGTCCTTGAGCCTACCTGGGAAGGGACCGAGGGTCGACTAGGACCAGGGCCGCTTCTTTGCAAGCGCTTCTTTCGCAAGCATGGAGATCCTCGGTCGGCCGTCAAAGGCACTACGTCTTGGAAATCGGCCTGGTCGCCTCAACGTCACAAGTCGTGATGTTCGGGCAGTTTTCGAACAGGGCGACGCGGTGATGAAAACACTTCTAGGCGCCGGGCCTTCTCGGACTTTTGAAATTCAGAGCTCGCCCAGCCCATGCAGAGACGCTAAATCAAGAGGCCGACTGGCCTCAACTTAGAAAACTGAAACTCAGCGGCTGGCTGGATGTCTGATTTCTGTGCGCGTATCATCT